GGGGCCCAGGTGAGGGGCTGCTTCTACAAGACAATGCAATCTCGGCTGAGATCCAGGCTTTGCTTTCTTCCTATTACAGTGACAGGTGATGGTCAGGGTTGGGTAGATCTGGGGCCTGCGCTCTGACAAGTCCCCTCCCCTCAACCCCTTCCTGGTGCCACAGCTATTGAGCCGATAGATGACATCGCAGCAGTGACAGACATCCTGGCCCAGCGGGAGGGCACAAGGCTGGAGACACCCCCACCCTGGCTAGCAATGTTTACAGACCAGCCTGCCCTGCATAGCCCCTGCTCACCTGCTTCAGTGTCCCCAGCTTGGACACACCCCCTTCCCTGGGGGCGACCCCGAACCTTTTCCCTGGATGCTGTTCCCCCAGACCATTCCCCTGGGGCTTCTCGMTTGGTTGCCCCGCTCCCGCCACAGCGATCCCCACGATCTAGAGGCCTCTGCAGCAAAGGCCCACTCCGTACTTGGCTCCAGTCACCAGTGTGAGAGAAAGGTGCTGGCAACAGGACCTGGCCAGAATAAAGAAAGACCCACATGGAGTTGGGCTCTGAGGACAGCACTGTGTGTAGCAAGTTGGCCAGCATGGCCTCCTCTTCCTCTACTGGATTGGGGGTAGGCGGGGGAGGGGGAACAGAAGCCCCTCTTAGGTGTGGTTGTCATGGTACTGAGGGGTTTGCTCCCAGTCCTGGCTGGGACCCCCTAAACCCTTCCTGGGAGAAAACTGGAACACCTTGCCCTACCTTCCTGCACTAATCAGCTTTGAGGATGGCACTGAAGAGCCCTGGGAGGAATGCACTTCCACTGTCACTTCTACATCAACCATTAAAATTATTTAACAGCAGCCTTCACATGTTTTTTTTCTTTTTCTTTCTTTTTTTTTTTTTTTTTGTTTGCTTGTTTTTGGTACTGGGGCCTGAACCCAGGTGCACTCTACCAGTGAGCCACAATCCCAGCCCTTTTTTTACTTTTTATTTTGAGACAGGGTCTTGCTAAGTAGCTGAAGCTGGTCTTGAACTTCTTGCCTCAGCCTCCTGAGTTACTGGAATTACAGGACTAAAACTGCACCTGGTTTCACTTGGTACTTGAGGACAGGTTGACTCTGTCTGGACCTATACATTCCCTCCTCCCTGGAGCTTATGTCACCGTTGCAAAGTATGACTGTGATACTGAGTGATCAGACAAGGGCTAGGTGGAGGGGACACTTTATAAATACCATAGGGAGAAGGGAAGTCTGCTCTTCTCTCACACACTGCTGTATCTCAGGATCTCAGCGAGGTCATAGCCAGTCACAGCAAAGGAGYTGCCTGAGGGATCACAGAATCGAGCACCACACACTTGGATGTCAGATACACACTCACCATGACAGTGTTCCACCTGGGGGTGAAGAGGGTTGATCAGGGCCTATTGCCCTGTGCTTGGGCCGCCATTCCACCCTTCCCATGACACACACCTCAATGTAGCCACTCTCTGGGCTTCTTCTTAGCTTCCAGATGTGTACAAAGGTGTCCTCAGCTGCAGAGAGTAGCTATATTAAAAAAAAATGGAGAAAGTGAAAAATCAGAATTTCTTGACAGGATGGTTGCAGATTGGAACACCTGCTCAGGCACCCTGGGGAAGGGGGTCCCTGAGTACAGACCAAGCCTAGGTGCTCAGAGGAGAAAGAGTTTAGGCAGGTAGGAGTAGACTGACCTTGCCCATCTCAGGAGCGAGGTCCAGGGCACAGATGGCCCGTGCGTGGGCATTGATCTGGACATGTAGAGTTCCTGTAGTGGCCTCATATAGACGAATTTGGCCGTTCCCATAGCCTGCTGCTATGATCCCCTGCCATAGCTGCACAGAGGGGCATGGTATCCTGCAAGGGTGACATTTAACTTTGGTTTCTCCAGACTCACTCCCACTCCCCACCCTGAAATACATCAGGAAGGCCACAGCTCCCTTTTGCCTCACCTACCCGAATCCTGGAATGCGGGTCAGTAATGTGAATTCAGACCCTGATCGCCAGACACACAACAAGCCTGAATCATCAGCTGTCACCATGTCAGCCACGCTATCCTGAGGGGAAAGGTGGGATCAGCTCTTYCCTTTCTTCCCTGCTATGGTCCTGAGTATAGGGCATGAGGGGAAGGGAGGCCATATTTGCATCTTTGCCTCTCCAAGGACAGGGCAAGATGGGGACCCCTCATTGAGTGGACCCACTAGAAATCCTCTTCAGGATTTCCTCAAGAAGACTGCTTCCCTTGCATTTTCTTATAGGATTAAAAGTACCACATCTCCACCCTGGCATTTGTATTAGAAGGGAATAAGTAATTGTCCTTGTTGAATGGATGATGAAACTGAAGTGACAGTGTCATGACTTTTTGGAGGTCTTACAATGAATCATGAGTGACTCTGGGCCTCTTGATCTCCAACACCAGACAGCCTTGGACAAGGTGCCATGGACAATACAAATCAGAAACTACACACCCTATTCTCAAGAGGTTTGCAATTCAGTTGGGGAGACAAGAGTTGTCTTTGAGGGCAGGGCCAATTCAGGGTTTAGCTAAAAGAGATTAGTGGGAGCTGAAATATGCTCCTGGAGAGGGGGCCTCTGGAGTTGGGCCTAAATAGGTAGGACTTGCTCAAGTCCACAGAAGGAAGCTGTGTGTATTAGAGCTGGACAGCATCATAGAAACCATTTTTTTTCCAATTCCTCAATCCATACCAGTATCAAAGGGCTTAATGAACTTATAAAATGCCATCTAAAGTACCTCTAGTTTTATCACTGAAGCTGAAGTTGTTGAAATCTAGGAAGGAACAGATTTTCCCAAAGCCATCCAGCTRCTTCGTGATAGAACCAAGACTCAAACCCAGGTCTGTTGCCTCCCAGGGTGGGTAAGGTTCCTAGGCTCACCAAGATGGATAAGAGAAGTCTACTCACCTGTCCCTGGGCAGGCTCCGTTGCAATATCTGTGACTGCTGTCTGGTGTCCAGCCAGCTCCTCACTCAGTACAATGTTGGGACCCTTTGGTGGGATGTCAAACACCAGCACCCGTCCTGTCCATGTTCCTGCAGCCAGAACCAGCACCCCCTGGATGACTTCTTGACCCTCCTAGGTTTTTAACCACCACACTCAGCACTCTTTCCATACTCTACCTTAGTAACAAACCCATTATTCCAACAACCTGGCTCCTCTACTCACTGCCTTCATCCTACCCCATCCTTTCTATCCCTTTCTCTTCCACCCTCCTCTCTAACCCTTCATAATTTCCTCAGTCCCTCAACATTCTCCTGGCTGAAACCCACACCCCTATCTCCATTTCCCTAATGCCCTCCCTGCCCCTGGCCCCCTCACCCACACAGATGAAGTGGCCACTGGCAGCAATTCCTCGAGCAAACACAGCCTGTACTGAGTGTGAAAAGGGAAAACTATCAGAAATAGCACCTTCCCCAGCCTTGGTAAACACTTCTTATGCCTACCCACCCCACTTTGTCCTGCAGGTACCTGAAGAGGTATCTCCAGAATCCAGTGCATGCCAGTAGACCATGATGGAACCATCAGACTCATACATCTGGAACAGAGGGGCAAGGATAGGCCATGGTCCAGCTGATCTTTGCTGAGTCTTGTACAGAGTTCTTCACATATCCATGTTAACTTTAGTCCATTTAATCCTTAAAAACATTCTGGGAGACAGACACTATTTTTTCTCCCTATTTTTTCAGAGGAGAATAACTAGGGTAGGCCTAAGGTCATACAGGTAGTAAAGAGGCCGATGGTGAGGTCAAGGAGGCACTTGGGAACTAGAGAAAATGGAAGATGAGAAATAGAGGAAGAGCAGGCTACAAATGTAAAAAGTTTGGAAGAGACTRCAGGAAAGTGCAGAAAGGTCTAAGGGAGGTCTAAAGGAGGGGAGTTGACTGGTGGGAGTCTTCTTACCTGTATCCCTCGATGTGAGGTGAGTACCAGCAGTACTCGGAAGGGGAGGACACACCAGTGGACCTGGAGGTAGGTGGATCAGAATAAGGAGAAAATCAGAGTAGGKGATATGAGGCATYAGGAGAGTGGAAATTCAGAGAATGAGGGGAAGGCCTATTTCTTGAGGTTTGAAAAGGATGGGGGTGGGGGTAGGTCTGAGTTCACCAACACCTCACCCAACTCTGTGCCTCACCTGAGTGATAAGTGGGGGGCTCACTCCAGCGCCCTCTTTGGCGTGAAGCTGGCGCTGGGCCAATGGTACACCCTCAGGGGCAGCGCTGAGAAGCTGGGCGCTTGGTCCGTGGACCACAGCAAAATGCATGAGGTTGCGGGCGGGCAGCTGCAGCACGCTGAGGTTGTTACACAGGGCGGCGGCTGAGCCTCGAAGGGGGACGGAGCGCTCCCGGCGGAACATCCTGGGGGAAGAAACACCCCAATCCCAGGGCGCAAAGGGAAAAGATCACAGTAGAGATTCCTGGGGGTGGGAGGAGCAATCATGAGGCACTGAGGGAGACCCCTGAGACTGGGGTGCCCAGGGAACATGATAGGGAAGGGTCTCAGGGCGGGAGGAAGGTCTCCTACACCAGAAGAGGGGAGTCCCAGGGCTGAGTCACAGGACGATGGGGAATCCCAGAGGAGGAATGATGATGACACAGGAGCCGGTGGCCCCAGAAGCCCAAGCCAAAAGGGCGGGATGAGACCCCCAGGCCCTTCCTCTCTGGACTTGGTTCCCTATAATAGCATCCTGTCAGGGTCTTAGATCACACCCGAAGCCCCACATCTCCTTGCCTGACTGCTGGATCCTTCGGTCTCTCCGAATCCGCCGCCACCATAGAGACGACGCACCCACGCAGGCTATTGGGCGGAGCGAACAGTCGGAACGTGCTGAGCGCGGCGCGGTTGCCGGGGAAACTGTGGGCGGGGCGAGCAACCCAACGCGCTCCGTGGTCTCCGAGGCGACCGTTAGGCGGCGGCAGCGTCCGCAGCAGAGACGCGTCAAGGAATCAGCCAGGACACCCGGGTTGGAGCGATCGCCGCGGCAATGGCGCATGATGGCTCGGTGAGCTTCAGCTCAAGGGGGGGTGCGTCGGCCAGTAAGGTCGGTGTCGGAAAGAGTGGGCCATTCTGCGCGGCCTGGGCGTTCAAGATGACTGAGGAAGCCATATCCGTACTTGGGCAGAAAGACTACATCTGCACTCATTTGCACTTTGCCCCCTCGCGCTTTGTCACGCTGGGACCTCTCAAGGACCCCTCAGGAAAGAGTCAGTGAATGATTTGGGGCTAGAGAATAAAAAGTGAATTTGGAAACAGCTAACACATATAATAAATTTCTTTCACTGAGCTTGCCATTGTAATGGATAAACCAGAATTGGTCAGGCAGCTGGGGGGAGGTGTTGATGGATAAATCCTCTATTTTGAGAATTTCAGAAGGAACAAATGGATTAAACAACTATGAGGCTGCACTTGAAAGTGAAATTGTTCCAAAGCCAAGAAATTTTAAAATAAAGAAAACATATCTGAAGAGCCTTTGTGCACAAGTATCCTATCTCTCACCCGCCACCCCCCAAATCAGGCCAGGTCTAGGCACCATCGCAGGGGGTCAGATGAAAGACTGGGAGAGGTCTAAGGAACCAAATGTTATCCTAATGCTTCCTGTTCTTGCTGGTGGAAAGTGAAAGGAGTTGTAAGGGATTTGGGGTTCRGTGTGAGTTTTAGGAAACATCAGATTTGAGGGAGAATGAATTTTAGGGAATATCAAGTATGAGTCTAGAAGGTAGGGGGGGAGTAGATAAAAGTTTGGGAAGATCGATTTTGGAAGTCAATTTTGGAAGGAACCAGGTTCAGAGAGACTGTTGTAGGGAAGTGAGAAGTCTCCCAAGAAAGTAAGTTACCATGTCTCTAAAGTGAGTTTTGAGGACTASTCTTCTTTTTAAGTACATTAATTACAAAAGGATACAAACTCATTGTAGAGAACTTATAAAATAGAGAAAAACAGAAAATAAACATACCTTCTGTAATTGTTTTGATGTTTTATTTTTCCTTAATACATATTGGTCTATATATCTGATGTAATTGACAAGCAACTTTGTATCTTGTTTCTTTTACTTAACATTATATCATGAGCATTTTCTTATGCCATTGGGAATTCTTCCTAAAAATTATTTTTGCCTAACATTCTATTATACAGATACAGCATAATTAATCACCTTTTTTCTTGGATATGTTTCAGTATTCTAGTGTATAGCATCACAGAGAATATATATCGGAAAATATATTTTAATCTTTATTTCAGAATATGCCTTTTGAAAGAATTTATAGAATTGAACTGTCAGGGTCAAAGGAATAAAAACATTTCTCTCTCTCTCTCTCTCTCTCTCTCTCTCTCTCTCTCTCTCGTACCAGGAATTGAATCTAGAGGTGCTTAACCACTGAACAGTTCCCAGCCCTTTTTATTTTTTATTTTAAGACAAGATCTCACTAAGTTGTTGAGAGCCTCATTAAGTTGCTGAGACTGGCCTCAAATTTGCTATTCCCGGCCTCAGCCTCACCAGTCACTGGGATTATAGACATATGCCATGGTGACAGACTCCTCCTCCTTTCTTTGAGATGGTGTCTTGGTATGTTGTCCAGGCTGGCCTGAACTACTGGGCTCAAGTGATCCTCCTGCCTTAGCCTTCAGAGTAATCACTAGTACAAGCATCTGTCATCACACTTGTCTTAAAAATATTTTTAATGTTCTTGATACATACCACTGCATGGCTTTCCAAAAATATTTTTCCACTTAATATTCCCATCAGCATGGTGTCAGCATGGTGTACTTTGCTAGCATGAGTATTCTTATGTTGAAATAATTTTTTGCAGTACTGGGGATTGGACCCTGAGCTACCTCCCTACCACTTTTTTTTTTTTTTTTTTGAGACAGGATCTCTCTAAGTTGTTGAAGCTGACCTCAAACTGGAGATTCTCCTACCTCAGCCTTCTGAGTTATCAGCCTCCTGAGTTTCTGGGATTCCAGAGATGCATCACTACACCTGGCCTTAAAAATAATTTCTTTTCTTTTCTGTTTTGGTACCAGGGATTGAACTCAGGGGCACTAGACCACTGAGCCACATCCCTAGCCCTATTTTGTATTTTATTAGAGACCAGGTGTCACTGAGTTGCTTAATACCTCGATAAATTGCTGAGGTTGGCTTTGAACTTTCCATCCTCCTGCCTCCGCCTCCCAAACCACTGGGATTACAGGCATGCTCCACTGTGCCAGGCCAAAAATAATTTCTCTTAAGATGACCTAAAAGTGAGAATATAAATTAAATGTACATCTTTTGATAAATTTGAGGATTAGACATCTTTTCATATATGTATTAAATCATCTACAGTTTCTCTTTTATGAAATGTTGTTTTATCTTTGGTATCTTATATGAGTTTTTTCCTTTTATATGAGTTTTTAATGTATTTGGAGGTATCCTTTTTGTATGTGTTTCACATATTTTTAATTTGAGAGGTAGGATAAAATCAGGTTCTGAAATTAGACAAACTGACAGGAATTCTGACTATTTTCTAGTTGTGTGATCCTAGGCAAATCACATAAAATAGGGATAAAAATAGTAGTTAACAATATAGAAGAGATACAAAATAGCACCAGTAATTCCACCAGTAATTCTTCTCAAGTTCTTTGAACTCTCAATGACTTTGGACACTTTGCACTCCTGCAATTAGCAAGGACCATGGGGTTAGAGCTTTATGTAAGCTTCATCTAAAACTCTGTGCTTCCAAGCGAATTATGGCTAACTTCTGCCAAGCTTCAGTTTCTTTGTCTGTAAAACAACCTTAGTGGACTTATGAAAATTAAAGCAATTAGCAACATGATAGTCTCTTAGTAAATTGTCCCCTTCCCTTTCTACTAAATATTTTCGGTAAGCTTCCTTCAGTCGCACTTCTCTGTTACCTGCCTTGAGTGCCTTTTCATTCCCACAGAGGCAGGAAAGACAGGAGAGGCAGGCCCGAGACCGAGGGATGACCCGATCCAAGGCTGAGAAGGCGCGACCGCCCACGGTGACCGTGCCACAGGTGGAGATCGTGCCTGGGCGGCTTAATGAGGCCGAATGGATCGCGTTAACCGCTATCGAGGAGGGCGAGGACGTAGTGGGGGACATCCTGGCGGATCTGCTGGCTCGAGTCATGGATTCCGCCTTCCAAGTCTACCTGACCCAGCAGGTGGGTCTGGATCCTGGTCTTCCAGACTCAATTTCTCCCGACCCACCATTCCTTGCTGGACTGAGATGCTTCCTCACTTTCGCAGTGCATTCCATTTACCATCAGTCAGGCCCGGGAAGCCATGCTGCAGATCACTGAGTGGCGCTTCCTGGCTCGGGACGAGGGAGAATCAGCAGTGGCTGAGGACCCCACATGGGGCGAGGATGAAGAGCCCCTGGCGTGCACGACCGATGCTTGGGCTCAGGGCTCTGTACCCGTGCTGCACACACCTGCCTCGGAGGTTCTGGAGGAGAACTGCCAAGTTGAAGTAAGCCTCCTTCCTAGGCTAGCGTCCTGCCGCGTCTTTGATCTACTTAGGGGCCTTTCAGGACTCCTGTCCTTAATTCTTCTCTCCCTTTCTGACCTCTCACCATCCCGGTGCATTTCCCCAGGACCTGGAGAACCTGGACCGGATCCCTTTAAGAAGATCGTGGCCTGGAAGAGCCTCCCAAGAACTGACGGAATCTCGGGAGCRTTCTCTGAGTGTCACCTTGGGTCCCCAGCCCAATCCGGAGCTGTTTCAGGAGGCAGAGCTCGGGGATACTCTGGAGGAACCTGATCGTGGGGCAAGAAGCCACTCTTCTTTGGTTGGGTTCTTGAATGGGAGTGTACCGTCATTGGAAGTGGAACTTGCAGAGAGTCCTCGTCCTTTCCTGGAGCTGTCCCAGGTAGCCCTTCCCCCGGCCTCTGTGGGGAGCCAGAGCCCACAGCACCTCAGGTCCCCCCTGTCGCTGGAGGACTTCTACTCTTGCATTTCCCAACCAGACGCAGCTGGGGACCAGTTGAAGCGCAAGACCCAGGCGATGTCCCCCAATGCCTCAGGCGTGTTAGTACCCTTCTCCTCCAAGGGCGACACCAGTGCCCTCAGTGCATCAGTGTCCTCCCAGTCGCAGCAGTCTGTGTACTTGGATTCACGGCGTGGCGCGCTTCAGTCCAGGGTGGATCGCAAGGCAGCCGAAGTGCGCTTGGACCCTGCGCGGCTTCCCCGCCACTGGGTGCGCCCCTTGGCTGAGGTCTTGGTTCCAGACTCCAAGGTTCACCCCTTGGAAGCCTACCGTAAGCGTCAGCGGGGAAAGATCCAGGCCCAGGTTGGACTCCAAGCCCCTGGCCCCCATGTCCCTGCATCTCTGGCTGCGTTCTTCCCTTTACAATCTGACGTTCCTTTCCGTGCTGTGAGCCCAGAACCCAGACTCCAATTACCCACTTTAAACTTAGGCCCACCATCACTATCCTTTGGGTCGAAGCTACCTTTCCCAAGCCCTGGGATTCATTTCCTTGACACACACCCGGCAGTTGTTGAAGCTGCTCATAGGTCCAGCCCCAGTGTGTGGCCCAGAGCCAAGTGGCCCAGTGGCTGGGAGAGGGAGGCTGACCTGCTGGGCAACCTGTGGGCTGGCCGCACCCGTGTGCCCCCACAGGGCCTGGGGCTTGCTGAAAAGGAAGGCCAGGCTTCTGGATGGCCCCAAACAATGCCTCAGGTCCTTGAGGCTACATCCCAGGTATTCTGGAAGCCAGTGTTAGTGCCAGAAGCAGTGAAGTTGACTCCTGGTGTGAGCATGTGGAACCGTAGCACCCAGGTGCTGCTTAACTCTGCTGTGTCCCAAGAGGAAGCCAAAGATGAAGGAGGCACCTCTCCTGCAGTTGAGCAGCGCCCCATCCAGAAAGGTGTGTCCAAACCTCATGTGACAGCAGAACAGCTAACAAAGAGTGCAACTCCCAAAGTGTGGCTGCTCCCCTCAAAGCCCATGCCCCATTCCGGTTCTTGAACCTCTGGCAGTGGGAATTTCACTTACTCTGTGCCTGCCTGTCAGAAATAAAACACCTGAATTGCTCTAGGAATTGGTTTGATGTTACTTCCAAGGGTGTCCATTCTCTCACTGAACGCCAGGGGGAGCAGTTGTCCTGCAGGCCTAAAAGAAGATCCAACAAGGGCTCCAGGGGATAGCCCCATCACCATCCTTAGGAGACCCTGCTTTAGGGACTAGGCTGTTCCCCAGCAGAGGCATTCTGCAAAGGAGTGTATATAAAGCCTGCAAAAAGGGCTCTAGTTCAGACAGGAGAAATTTCTGTTTTATTAGGCATGGAAGGGAATGGTCCTGCCTAAGCACAAAATAACTAAAGATAAGAGGAACYTGATTTGCACCCCTGGTTCTCGGAGCTTAGTCAGTTCATCTTAGACTGCAAATCCAAGTTTTACTTTTGGGTAGAGGTTTGCCATAAACTCCACACCTGCCTCATCGCTAGTCCCCAAGATGCAATGTGTTCTAGCCTCCCCCACCAAGCACTTCCCAGTGGCCAGGTGGCAGTCTCTGCTATATTGCTGTGAGCTTCACTCAGCACCCTGGGCTGAAGCCCTGGATTTTTCTTATGTTTCTGGTTCACCTGCTTGCTCAATATGGGCAGCTCTGGCAGGAGTCTCAGGCCTGTTACACAGAAGTGATTGGGCAGACAGCAATAATGACTGGGCTCAACAGTGGTGAGCACTTCTCCCACCCTGTCACATCACTAGAACTCAGTCCTCAATAATCCCAGGACAAGGGAGGGGATCATTCTCCACTCTTAACACCCTTGCCTTTCCCCTTATTCCAATGCTTTCTAGTCTCCACCCAGACTGTTCTACTCTGAAGGTGCCCTGCCATGGGCATTGGGAAAATTGTGGCCTGGTAGCTGGCTTTTCACATGGGCCCCATGTAGTTCCTRCCTCCTAGAGCTGGTGAAGCCAAGCCCTCATCTGAAATGGTGGAGTGGTGGCCCTGGCTGGGCTGGAGTGTGGAAGGCAAGTACAGGCCTCAATTACAAGGAGCCCATGCCAACACAGGCCTGTGGCATAGTGAGCCATGCTGAGGCAAACCAGGGCTCACTGAACTGTCCCATTGGTGGCCCAGCCCTAGATGATGAGCAGTAAGAGGTAGGGCAGACCTAAATGGGATTGCAGGGCTAACCAATAGCATTGATACYTTCCAAGGCCTGATTAGCATAAATTTGGACCAATAATGTTGATTCAAGAGCTATATAAATCCCTAGACTAGCACATTCAAGTGGTCACCCATAGTAGGCTCCCTCTCACCCCAGAGAGATCTGTATTTGCTACTCACTTGAATAAATCCTACCTTTTAAAAAAATTTAGTTGTAGATGAACACAATACCTTAATTTATTTATTTTTATGTGGTGCTGAGAATTGAACCCAGTGCCTCATACATACTAAGCAAGCATGCTACCACTGAGCCACAACCCCAACCCCTAAATCCTACTCTTACACTTATTCTTTCTAGTGTGGATTTTATTCTTCAAATTCAGGAGAAAAGAAACCAGAAAGAAGAAATTGGTGGAGAGCTGCTGGGATCTGCTGCAACACTGGAGGGCATAGACCATTTATTAAGAGCTGCAACATGCCACTGGATAGTAGTGGAGAAGAATCAGCTTTGCCAGCTGTGACATTTGGAGCTGGCACCTGCCATAATTAGTTTCTAATACCAAAATAGAGACCTTGGCTTCAGAGACCTACAACTTACACAGACTCCCCCCACCAGCAGAAATGAAGAATTAAGTTTCAGCTCAAACTCTGGTGTCACTAGAAGCATGGATCCATGCAGTTTCCTGCTTGGCAAGAAGGACATCAGATTTGTGGCTTCCATTTGGATTTTTGCCTAGTGGCATTTGCAGAAGTGTCCTGAGATATACCTGCTGGTAAACAGTGCTGGAATCAGTGATATGTACCATGACTTTCTTCTCCACAAACATTTCAGGATCTCTTTCCTAACTCAGGAACTCCGAAACAGGCATCTCCAAAGCCTAACGTGCATTCTGCTGAATCCATGTATTGCATCTATACACTCCCTTAAAAATCCTACCTTGAGTCAGAGGGAAAACTTCATTGCCTCCATCTTTGCATATATATTGTGACATTTCTACTAAGCCCCTATATATCTCCCTAAACTGTTATCCTTCCATCACCTATATTCTCATCTCTTCCCAGGATATCCCAAGACACTTACCCCCGAGAGCCTAGATTTCACCTTTACCACTAACTATGTTGAGTCCTTTCTGCTTTCAGATCCACTCTGAGGTAATGAAGGATGGATGCTAACCTTCTGTGATGCCTACTCTTCTTCATACCCCAGCATTCTGGTTATTTACTGGATTTCATGGTTGCCTTCCATGAGAATCCCTATAACACACACACACACACACACACACACACACACACACACACACACACTTCTTGGAATCCAGTCACTTGCTGAGGATGACCCAGCACACTTGTGTCACTTAGCAGGAGCACCCAGTTGGTACAAATCAGGATTAGGAAGCTGCTGGAAGAATTAGCTCCAAATACAACCAGCAAGGGGATATGAGAGCCCATCCTTCTTCCTCATCTGTTCTAGACAGATGAAGAGTTAGTCATTGCAACAGATTTTTTTTTTTTAAACCAGGTATTGAACCTAAGGGCACTTAACCATTAAGCCACATCCCCAGTCCTTTTCTTTTTTCTTTTTCTTTCTCTTTTTTTTTTGGGGGGGGGGGGGGGGTGGGTACCAGGGATTAAACCCAGGGGCACTGAACTTTGAACTTGTGATTTTCCTGCCTCAGTTTCCCACACTGTTGGGGTTACAGGTGTGCACCACTGTGCCTAGCAGGTGGGGAACATCTTAGAGTGTAGTAGAATTGCTTTCCTGTTTTGAAATTCTCTCTCTCTCTCTGAAAGAATACATTCTGTCTCTGTTCTTTAGTGTTTACTTACTCCAGATTTTTAAATCTGCATATTTAATAGTTTTTTCTTTGTTTGTTTTTGCAGTACTGAGGGCTGAATTGAGAGGGGCACTCTACTGAGTGCTGCATCTCTAGCCCTTTTTGTTATGTGAGACAGGGTCTCACCAAGTTGCCTAGACTGGATTGTAACTTGTGATCCTCTTGCCTCAGTCTCTTGAGTCTCTAGGATTACAAGCAAGTACCACTGAGCCCTGCTGGAATGTATTTTTTTATTTTAAATTTTATGAAATCTAAATCTAAACTATATCAAGTATTTTCAGGGCTAGGGAGTGACTCAGTGGGAGAGGTCTTGCCTASTATGCTTGGGAGCCTGTGTTTGATACTTAGTACTGAAAAAATTCTCTTGTGATCATAACATCTTAATAAATGTGTGCCATAAATGCAAATACACACTGAATTTCAAAGACTTAGTAAAAAAAAAAAAGCTATCCCAACATTTACTGTGTGTGTGTGTGTGTGTATGTGTGTGTGTGTATGTGTGTGTGTGTATGTTATAGGGGATTGAACACAGAGATATTCTTCCACTGAGCTACATCCCCAGCCTCTTTATTTTTTGAGACAGATTGCCCAAGCTGGCCTCCAACTTGGGATCCTTCTACCTCAGCTTCCCAAGTCATTGGGATTACAGGTGTGTGCCACTATGCCCAACTTCAATAGTATTTTTATATTGATGATTATTGCACATTGAAATGGTAATATTTTGGAAATATTGGTAAAAATATTAGGTAAAATATTGGGTAAAAATATATTGTTGTCAGGGTTGGTGGCAAAGATCYGTAATCCTTGTGATTTGGGAGGCTGAGCCAGGAGGATTTTAAGTTCATAGTCAGCCTCAGCTATTTAGCAAGGCCTTAAGTAACTAAGCAAGATCCTGCCTCAAAATTAAAAATAAAAAGGGCTGGAGATATAGCTCAGTGGTACAGTGCCCCAGGATTCAATCCTTGGTACCCCTCCTAAATATATATATATATTTAAAATTAACTTCACTTGTTTTTTTTTTTTTTTTTTACTTTTTAGAATTGTGTCTTTAGAAATTATACATGTGGCTCACATGTGAAATTTAATTTTAATAATTTTCTCCAAAAATTTCTTTAAATTTATTAGTTTGTATATCAATTAAAGACAATTTCAAAATTTCATATGTCTACTAGATGGTGTTGGTATATCTAGATACTTTTTTTTTAAATATTATTTTTAATTGTCAATGGACCTTTATTTTTATTTATTTTTATGTGGTGCTGAGAATCAAATCCAGTGTCTCACACATGCCAGGCAAGTGCTCTACCATTGTGCTATGACTCCAGCTCTAATCTAGATACTTCTTGCCCTATATCTATCATCTTCCACATTTGGCTTTTTCACCATTGATTTGCCCTCTTCCTTCATCCATCACTTCTCCAAGCTTTGCAGCCTAAAAATCTGCCTCATTCTGGAAAATAGTATTCCTTCCTGAGAGGGGTTTCTCCCCCTTGATGCTTTCCCATGTCATATAATGCCTAGAATTTCACCCCCAAGAGAACAGCTATTCTTCAGTGTTCTGCATTATAGGTTGGGGGAATGGGCTGTAGCCACACAGCAGTTTGGGAGTCCTTGGGGTGTCATTCAGGGTCCTCATCAGAGGGGACCAAAGACTGGCTGGGTCCCTTAAAACAGCATCTATTAAGAAACAATATAAAGGACAAAGACAGTATAATTTCCCTTGCAGGCCACTTAACCTAATGCAATATATTAACAAACAATCCCCCTCCCATAGTTCTGTTTTATTTTTTTAAATATTTTTTAGTTGTCAATGGATCTTTTATTTATTTAATTTATTTATTTACATGTGGTGCTGAGGAGTGAACCCAGGGCTTCACACATGCCAGGTAAGCACTCTACCACTGACCCACAACTCCAGCACTCCCCTCCCCCGCCAATAGTTCTCTTATAAGCATGACCTGTCCTTTATTTTATTTTTTACAATTATTTGTTTGTTTTAGAAGTAGTTGAACACAATACTTTGTTTATTTTTA